TCCACGTCGGCGCCCCGGGGACCCCTGCCGTGGCGCCATGGCCTCGGAGTCGGTGAAGGTGGTGGTGCGCTGCCGCCCCATGAACCAGCGGGAGCTGGAGCTGAACTGTCAGGCCGTGGTGACGGTGGACTCCGCACGTGGCCAGTGCTTCATCCAGAACCCCGGCGCCTCCGACGAGCCCCCCAAACAGTTCACCTTCGATGGCGCCTACTACATGGACCACTACACCGAGCAGATCTACAACGAGATCGCCTACCCGCTGGTGGAGGTGAGGGCACCCGAGGGGCCGCCTGATAGGCCGCCTCTGAGCACCAGCTGGGCAGGACTTGGGGCCACTCTGAGGGACGGCACTGGCCCCAAACCGTGCGGGTAAAGCCCTTTCAGAGGGTCGCAGGTGGACGCCAGCAGGTTGGTCTGAAGACTTTTTTCCAGGCAGGAGACAGCAGGAACCCACCTGCTACATCTGTGTCCAGGTCCCCACCATCCCCAGTGCCAGGGCTGTCCTCATCCCACCCATTCCAGGCCTTCTCTCACGAGAACTCCAGTCCTCAAGACCACTGCCCTCCATCCTCATGCAAGAGCCCAGGACTTCTCTGAACGGTCCAGTCACTCCCCTCCCCCAGCCGCCTCCTCCTCGCCCAAGAGCAGGGGGTCTCCTCCTCTTCCTCCTCCCAGGCCTGGCCTCTGCTTTCTCCCCCTCAGCATCCAGAACCCTCTCCCTCACCCTCCTCCGGCTTCCTGAGAGGCTCTGGCAGCTCCAAGCCTATGCTGGGGGGAAGATCTCACCAGGTCCCTGCTTCCACAGAGGGAAGGCCACTGGCCTGGCCCTGTCTTGGAGCAATGGAAACCCTTGATCTTTGGTCTAACTCTTCTCCTCAGCAGCTGGGGAACAGGGAGGCAGCAACAGCTTCTCGCCTTTTACTGGGCTTTTGCTTCCCAGAGCACTCTCGCACCAGGGAGCTCGTGTGAGCTTCATAACTGGACAGCACTCACATTTCACAGATGGGGAGACTGAGGCACTGGGGCCAGAGACTGGCCAAGCTTCCGATGAGTCTCTGGTAGAGACGAGGCTAGAGCTACGCCTGCTGTCTCCTTTCCTTTCTTACCAACATCTCCCCAGTGTCCAGCGAGTCGCTCCTTAAGTGAGATGTCACAAGTTCCAGGAAAAAAGGAAAAGGGTGGTAAATGCTGCATACACCTTCCCTTGCTTGAAGCTGCGCATGGCACATTAGGATATGAGGCTCTGGGAGTTCTTCCAGCAAAGAAATCGATGTAACTTAACCCAGCATTTCCAAAGTAGATCTGACCACGGAATGTTTTTGTTTTGGCTGGCAGGCCATTTAACACCCTCAGAACCCCAGCTTTGGCTGTCCTATCTCTTCCTCCAAGGCTCAAAACCCTGGAGAGGACGGAAGAGTTCCGAAACCCAGAGTTCCCCGGGACCTGACCCGAGATGATGCCCAGGGCGTGAGGGCAGCTCTCCTCCAGGGGGTGGTGCCACGCTCTGGAAATGGCCAGGCTCTTCTCAGTCCTGGACTCCGAGGCTGGAAGTAACCTGAGGGGTGTCCCCCTCCCTTGGGTTCACCCAGTGGCAGGGGCTCACTCTTCCCAAAGCAGCCTGTTCTACCTTTGCTGCTTGGCTCTTAGAAGACCGTTCTGCCTGATGAGTCAATCAGCCTCCCTGAAGCTTTCAGCCGCCTGCCCTGGGTCTGTCCTGGGCTCCACAGCACGTCTCTGCTCCCTCATCCAGGGTTGGCCCCTCTAAGATTTGAAGGTTCCAAGATCGTGTTCCTCCTTGGCCTTGACTCCTCTAAGGCCTCAGCCTTGCTCATGGGTCCCCTCCTTATCCTGGGAGTAATCCCTTGAGCAAGCCTTCCTTGTCGGGGTCCCCAAGAAGCCCCATCCCAGAGGTGGAGACACTAAGGACCCAGGAGCTACATCAGATCTCTCCTCCAGCTCCCGCTTTTGTCCCAGTTTCCTCCACTTGTGATTTTCTGCCAGACACCTGCCTCTGGACCACCCACAGAGCCTGAACGTCAGCACCACAAATGTTCTTTCCCAAGAATTCATGAATTCATTCATTCATCCATCTAACATAGCATCTCCACGCCAGGTCCCATTCTGGGCATGGGGAGTGCTGCCCTAAAGGAGGCAGAGACTGCCCTCAGCGAGCTCATGGTCAAGTGGAGGAGCAGCTAAGCTAATAGCTACGATCCAGGGTGATGAGTGGGAGGAGAAGCCCAGGAGATGTGGCAGCACAGAGAAGGCTCGCAAACTTGAGCTCAAAGGGGATGAGAAGTGAGGGGAAGGCGGGAGGGCTTTCCGGAAGTGGTGAAGTCTGAGCTGAGACATGAGGATGAGAGGAGTTGGCCAGGCATGAAGGTGGAGGCAGGGGGCTTCCAGGTGGAGACCAGCATTTGATTTTCACAAAACCCTGTGGATGTATAGAACTGGAGTCATCATTCCCGATGGGAAAACTTAGGCCTGGAGCGTTACTGAACAAGTTAGGTGTGGTTCCAATTCCTAGCACAGTGCCCAGGTCTGTGCTGCATCCTGCTGCCTGCCATTAAGTGAGCACCACGCAAATCATACGCAAAGCATAGCTAGGTGGCTCTGAGCCAGAAGTGGCTGCACCATCAGGGTCCAGTGGCTGTGTGTGTGCCCTGCTAGGCTCTGACCCCGCTCCCATGGCTCTCTCAGGGCTCTGACCTCGTTCGGGGGCCTCCTGTCCAGGGACCTTCCTTTCAAGTCCCATTGCCCTTTTCTGCCTTTTCTTTTTATTTTCCACCCCTTAAATTTAGACTCTGTACTTGAACTTCTCTGTCGCTAGGTGACCTCTTCTACTCTCCACCCCAGATCCACCCTCTTCAGCCGACTCATTATGCCCTAACCTGAGCTGCTCGCCACTCTGCCTGGCCGGCTGCCTGGTCTGTGGGCTCTTTCCCAACCGGTGGCTTTGCCATCTCTCCCTACTCCTATGGCCTTAGAGTCACCTCTGGTGACTCACCCAGGGGCCAGGTACCATGGCTTCTGTCACGTCCAGACTGAGGACAGAGACAGTGACGTGGTAGAAGCCTTAGAGTTTGGCCCCGGGATGGGACATGGAGCTGTTCATTTTGAAAGGGGCAGAAAGGGGATGTGAGGTAATTCAGGATAGATGCTTTTTATTTCAGTTTCGATAGTAAAGTGTTTAATGTGGGGTAGAAAAAATATTCAGCACATCCAACCTGTAATGCAATTTCATGGGAATTATTGCCAAGGATGACACCAGGTTAAAAAGAGAGTCAAATAACAGTTGATTTCATGAAAATCACTTAATCCCAATCATTTTTGGGATGGGGGCCGTGGCTGGACCCAGGCGGAAGTACAGAGTGGCCAACATCGAGGACCTGCTCTGTGTGTGAGCTTGTTTCTGGCAGGTCTGGAAGTATCAGTTGATGGGTGAAACTTCTTTTTTGAAATTTTATGTTTTTCCTTAAAGATGCATGTGAGATTGTTTTCTAATTCACTCCAGAGCAGCACTGATCTGTAGAACTTTCTGCGATGGTGAACATGTTGTGTGTTTGGGCTGTCCAAGTAAATACCCACTAGTCACATGTGGCAAATGAGCACTTGAAATGAGGCCAATGCTACTGAGGAAGTGAATTTTAATTTTATTTAATTTTAGATAAATTGCATTTAAATAACTGCAAGTGACCAGTGGCTGTACAGCAGTGCTTTTTAATACAAACGTAATGTGAGCCACGTGTGTTAATTAAAACTTTTTTAGTAGCCACATTTTAAAAAGTAAAAGGAGACATGCAAAATTAATTTTAATAACACATTACTTAACTCATTGTATCCAAAATATTATCATTTCGATAAAACATAATAGATATTATCATTGTATAATAACCATTAGCGAGATATTTTACACTCTTCATATGAAGTCTTCAAAATGTGGCCTGTGTTTTACACTTGTAGCACACAATTTAGATGCTGAAGTGTCAACAGTTAAAATGAAATGAAGCACAAAAAATAAAGTTGTGTTTAGTGGAAAAATATTTTACGCCGTTTCAGGTTTTAAATGTAAATTAAAAGAAAATAAAAATAAATCCAGTTTCTCAGCTGCACCAGGCACATTTCTAGTGTGGCTAGTGGGTAGACCCTACTGGATGGTGTGGCAATAGTTATTTTTATATAGTATGAATCCCTTCTCTGGGTCTGGGTGGCATTGATACTTGAGCGCCACACCATGTTTTTGTTCCTAGGACTTCGTGTGCCCCCGATTCTGAGGAGCCCAGCTGTGGCTCCTGGTTGGGTGATGGGTCTGCTCCTGCCGCTCCCCCACTGCAGGGGGCCTGTCCCTGTGTGTGGCGCATGGCCCTCTGATGAGCTGCAGGAACCCACACGGTGGTCAGGCTTGCCTTGGACAAGAGAGCAGTGATCGTCCAGTCCTGCCCATAAAAATGAAGCCTGTCCCTCAGAGGAGCTGTGAAAGCTGACTTCAGTCTTCCTTCACCAGCGGCAGTCCCTAGGGATCTGGAGCCCCATGTAGTTCTACAGGCAGGGTCTTTGCAGCGGAATGAGATGTAGTTGCCAGATGGACCCTCGGGGCCTGGGAGCAGCTCTCTGGGCTCATGTTCTGACATTGGATCCCCCGCCCCATGCTGAGTTCTAAAATTTGTGACCTCATGTGTGAGAGCAGGGACTGGGGTGTCCGCCTTGTTCATCGCTCTGTCCCCAGCCAGAGCACATGGCCCAGCACAGGGAAGAGAGTCAGTACCTACGGAACGAATAAATGCATCAGTGATGAGGAGTGACTGTGGGGTGCCGCCCAGTTGGCCTCCTACCTTCGTTCCTACTTCCTTCATCTTCCACCCCTCTTGCCCCAGTTCCACCTGCTCTCAGCCTCTCACCTCTCTGCATCTTTGCTTAAGCTGTCGCCTAGCCTGGAATGCCTTCCTTTCTCTCACCTGTCAAAACCTAAGCCACCCTTTTCGGTCCCCGCAGTTCTACCTACCCAGGAGGCTCTGCCTGATTCTTCCCACACTGTCCTGTCTTCCCCTCTCTGTGCTCCCTCTACATGCCACTGGTGCAACTTCTGACATTACAAACGCCTCCACTTGCCTTGTATGGGAATCAGTCCCCCACGCTCCAGGCAGACATGCAGCAAGCACCTGCGTATGCCAGCACTTCCCGTGCCGATGCATGCACTAATTCTCCTGGAAACCTCACAACAGTCTTGGAGGAGGTGTTATTTCTGACTCTTTATTTCAGAGGAGGAAACGGAGGCTCAGTGTGCCTGGGTAAGAACAGTCCAAGGGCACACAGTCAGTAAAAGGTAGAGACTGGATTTGAACCCAGGTGACTAGGCTCCGTGGCATAAGCTCTTAACCACACACCGGGACCGTCTCCTACCCAACCAGGCAGTGCACTCCTTGAGGACACAGCTGTGCCTTATTCGTCTCTGCTTGCCCACCCCCAGCCTAGGGACACCTGGTGGGAGACCCAGAGGGAGCCTGAGTGTGTGAGTTAGGAGGCAGCCCCGCAGACCTGGGCCTGGCTCCAAGCCTGGCTGTGCTGGGCCAGCTGAGCGCTTGGGTTTTGGTCCTCCCATGCAGGGTGTCACTGAGGGCTACAACGGCACCATCTTTGCCTACGGCCAGACAGGCAGCGGGAAGTCCTTCACCATGCAGGGCCTGCTGGACCCGCCCTCCCAGAGAGGCATCATCCCCAGGGCCTTCGAGCACGTGTTTGAGAGCGTTCAGGTATGGGCCTCGTGGAGGGAAGGGCAGGGCTGGTGCTTGGGGCCTGCGGGCTCCCCAGACAGTGACCACAAATGGTCACAGGGCACTTCTGACCGTGGGATGCAATCAGAGCCTGCCTCGACTCGGCACAGATGAGCTGCTCTGGTTTCTGAAATGGCGATGGGAGAACTTAAACTTGAGAAGATGACACCGAACAGTTCCACGTTTTTCTCCTGCCATTTTTGGATTTTAACATTTCGTTTAGTACTTCGCATGGATGCGATGCCCTGAGCACTGTCCTGAGACGTCGTTGTCACAATCATAGCTCTCCTTTCTATTGAGCAGTTGCTACATACCAAACCTTGTGCAAAGCCCTGTTTTATCCCACTGAACCCCTATGCTGGCCCAGGAGGTAACTGTCACCCCATTTTTGAGGTGGGGAAGCTGAGATTTGAAGTGCCTATAGGCCAGGTCAAGGTGGGTTATCCCAGTGTCTAGGCTGCAGCTGAGAAGTGCCCTGGTGACCATTCGTGGCAATGCACAGAGATCCCCGCATCTGAGAAGTGGCAGAGTGGGGACTGGGACCCTGGTCAGCTGCAGAGCTCACTGTTCCTGTCCCCGGGACCCATCTGGTGACCCACAGGCGAGAGAGCTGCCAGGGATCAGCCCAGAGCCAGAGCTTGGTCTAGGCCTTACCTGTGGCCTTGGTTTCTCTCCCCAGTCATGGGGAGGTGTCTCCCATTTCCTGTCCCTTGAAACCTGGAGAGAGAGCCTGAGACAATAGCAGTAGGAGAGTAAAGCAACTCTGTGAAGCCGGAGAGGAAGGGAGACTGTGCCAGGCGGGCAGGCGAGGCTGGGTGGGGTGGGGGACTCCTCTTCCCTGGACATCGCCCCTCCTGCCATGATGCCCTGGCTGCAGAGGGGCTCAGGTTGCACGGTCAGGTCTGGCAGTGGGTGCTCAGGTGTCTTTGTTCTCTCCACCCACTCCCTGCAGTGTGCAGAGAATACCAAGTTTCTGGTCCGGGCCTCCTACCTGGAGATCTACAATGAAGATGTCCGTGACCTGCTGGGGCCTGACACCAAGCAGAAGCTGGAGGTAGGTGCACACCTGGCACAGGCAGATGGGGCCTGGGGGAGGAGAGAGGTCAGCATCAGGTGGTGCTCCCTCAGAAGTACAGGGAAGGTATCCTGAGAGCACAGTGGCTGTGTGGACTAGAGTGGGGACTTCTGAACTTGAATTTTGGAGTATTCCGAGTCCATGATGCAGGGGAGGGGTTAATGGGCCTACCTCCACCACACGCGGCAGGGCTGGACCTTGCCTGGGGTAATGCCACCTGTATCTGTTGAAATAGATGGAGTTTTGTAATAGATAACATTTGAAAAGAGGGTTTCACTTCTAAAAAATTATTTTGAAAATCTCTAAGGGCCCTTCAAGCTAAAAATAAGGTACTAATGATCATCATTTATTGAGCACTTACTACTTACTGACTGCTTTAGGCACATTACCCATTTAGTACTCACAGTACCCTTGTTAGGTAGATATTATTATCCCCGATTTACCGATGCGGGAAGGGAGGTTTAGAGAGGTTAATTAACTTGCCGAAGATTCACCCAGCAGTAAGTGGCCAAACCTGGATTTGAACTCAGGTCTGTCTGACTTCAAGGTCCTGAATCTCAAACATCCCCTTTCACTGCTGCTGCTGGGCCCAGATTCTGGGACCTTATTCCCTTCAAAAGGGATTTGGTGTAGGCAGGCCTCAGGACTGACGATATGACCTCATAAGGTTGTTATGAGGATCGAAAAAGGTAATGAAGGAGAGCTGCTTAGCACAGTGCTGCTGTATAGCAAGTGTTCAGTGTGTGAACCATTTTATGCCACTGAGATTCCAAGAAAGGACAGCAGATGTGACTGGGGGCTGCACGGTGGGACCCTAGGGAGAAGGAGTCGAGACATGTTTTGTAAAAGGCTAGAATCAGAATGAAAGAACATCATTTCCCAACAGCGTGAAGTAGAATTAGACCCTCTGAGGGTTCAATCAAGGTAGGGAGAACCTGGCTAACCCTTTGGGGAGCTGAATGAAGTCAAGTGACCTGCCAGGAATGGATAACAGTGGCAAGGCTTGACCCAGGTCTGGGACACTTGGGTCTTCACCGTAGTGTGAGGCCTTGGTTATGTGTCCTCTCTGGGACTCTTTCAATGCTGGGTGGGCCTGGTCAGGTCCAAGGAGCAGAGGCCAGTGGGGGGAAGTGCTGGTGGTGGTCCCCCAACTCTGGTGCTTCTTATCTGACCAAGCAACCAGTGGACCCCCCGAGAGGCCCACAAACAGTATTGGGGGTTGGCCCACCTCCTTCACAGTCAGAAAGCCCCAGGTGGGAGAGTGTCAGTCATTAGCGAGCATCAGCCCTGGGAGGTTGCTATGGAGATGCCCCTTTTATAGGTGAGGAAACTAGGCTGGGAAAGCAGAAGTGACTTGAGGTCACTGAGCTAGGAAGTCACAGAGTCAGGGCTGGACATCTTCCCTCACCCGAACTGCTTACATCTCCCCAGGCCACATGCCTTGCCAGCCGTGGGGAGGGGGCGGAACCGGGCAAAGGGGCTGCCACCGATGCCTCCCAGTCCTCTAGACCCTCCCTGTCTTCCAGATTAGACAGGATGCTGGACCGGTTCCCACACCATCCCCACCCACGTGGAGGCAGGGATGTTTCTCTGCTCAGCTCCAGAGCAACCCCCAGTTGCTCTGGCTTCATTTGAGGGCATTGTGAGTTCCTCTCTCACTGGCAACCTCTCCATGGCCCAATGGAACAGATTGGACCTCAGAAAGCAGATGTCTTGAAAAACTTGTGTGTAAAAAAAATCCTTAAGATTTTGAGCCAGGAAGACCCTTGGAGAGGTGGTCCAACCCTTTCCTGGTACAGACGAGGAAATTGAGAGCCAAGGAGAGGAAGGGACTTGGCCAAGGTCGCAGAGCAAATTAGTAGTTGTTGCACCAGAACTTGCGGAATCTGAGTGGTCAGGTGCTTTCCTCCCGGTATTTTTGAGGGTCAGCAATATAGGAAACTCCTGGGGCAATAAGAAGCCAGAAGTGAGATTCCAGTCAAGAGAGGGACGTCCATTAGTTGATTCGTTCATTCAACAAAGATATACTGGGAAGAGACCGAGGGTACAGGCCACATGAGTGTGAGCTCCCTCCATCCCTCTCAGGACCACCCCACCCCTCAACCCCCTGCTTCTCTGCTTCTCCCAAACACAGCAATGCCGGGCCCTTTCTGTGCAGGAACCTCCTCCAGCCTCTCACCTGAAGTCTTTCCACTGTCTTCTTTATCCTGGAGCTAGAGCAGCTGAGTCATAGCTCAGCCCCCCGGGGCTGGGGAATGGGGAGAGGAGAAAGGCACAGAAAGTTGCAGCACACACGTGTCAGCCCTGAAAGGCCAGCCTGCACGATCAGGGCCCCCTGCCAACCCACACTGGGGCAGCAGGGGGCCCTCCTCCCCTCCTCATTAACCTGGACCCTACAGTGGCCTCAGTACCGAGGCCCTAAGGGCCCAAGTGCGGGCAGCTACATGCATTCGCCCTAGCTGGGCCACGGGCCTCAGGCTGCTTGCCGAGAGCTGCCAGAGACAGATGGGCTCCGTGACACTCCCCATGGGTGCACCGAGCTTTTGCCCTTGTTCCTCCCGGAGGAGGTACAGGTGGGTTTTCACATGAACCTCACAACAGCCTTAGGAGGAGGTGCTGTTCTTATCCTTTATTATAGGTGGGGAAACTGAGGCTCGGTGTGCCAGGGGAAGACCAGATATGAACCCAGGTGGGCAGGCTCCACAGCATAATGCGGGGCCTGATCGTGTTGGTAATAAGGAGTTATTAGATCGGTAAGGGCCAGCAAGAGATTTGAGGAAGCAGAGTTACACTTCCTCTCTGCAACCACCATGAACCATCGTGGAACACAGCCCAGTACTGCTGGAGGCGGTTCCTCCACTCGTATCCACCAGCACCCCGCATCCCGGCAGAGTGTCGGGACTCCCTCCTCCATGGGTGCATTTCTTGGCTCCGGACCAGTGGCAGACTCTCCTGCCTGAACATCCCAGCTGGTTGCCATGGTGACCAGGCGGCCTTGTAGCTTGAAGGAGCAGTTACCAAGGAACAGGGCGCAGCTGGTGGCTGTCACTCAGTGTCTCCCTAGCTCAGTGGTAGGTGGGGGCAGGAATAGTGGGGGAGGGATGGAGGGAGCAGGGATCACAAGGTGAAAGCAGGCCTTCCTAGGTCTAAACGTGAGGTTGGGGGGGTACCCCTAAGTGAGGAGTTGCCTCCCTGCCCCCTTTTCTGCTCGTGACAGACGGACCATCCTCACCCTCTTCATGACCTGTGTTCCTGAGCCCCATCCAAGTACCTGCAGAACTTTTTATTAGTTCCGTTCTCTTCTTAATCTTCATAATAGTCATGCAGAAGTAGGACTTATCATCCTCATTCTACAGATGAGGAAACCGAAGCTGAGAGGGGCAAATTGACTTCTGTAACTAGCAAATGACAGAAGCAGATTTCTACTCCAGGCCTGTACGATTAATAGGAGCTGCATTCTTCCCGAAGCCAGGAGCAACCGCTCCCTCACCTGGGCCTGCTCAGTGCCAGGCAGGCTTCTAGGTTCTTCTTGGGAACATGGCAGCGATCGAAACAGGCGGCTCTCGGGCACACAGGTCGGCTGCCTTCATGCCATGCTCTGTTCACAGGGTCTCCTGCTTCTGTTTTTTTTGCTCTGTCCTCACAGTGGCCTCTAGGTCAAGATCAACCCTTTGTCATGTCAAGCTCCAGTTGCTTCAGAATGCTCCAGGCTCTCTCCTAGCCCTGCCTCTGGACCCTTCCACTGTCTGTGCCCCCAGTTGCTGCCCTGCCACTAATAACTGTGTGACCTTCGGCAAGTCACTTAACCCTTCTGTGCCTCAGTTGTTTATGCCATAAAGCCTAGTCCTGCAGGCCGGCTCTGGCTGGTTCTCCAAATTTTGGTAGATGGGCAAGCCTGTGCTTGCCACCCCTCCCCCTGCCCACTGTGCGATATGGACGCAACCCCACCTCGGACCCCGAAGCTGTCCGGAGCAAAGCCTCTGAGCCTTCTGTGGCTCAGACCAGCAGACAGATGACTATTGTCCTAATTCACTCTGCTCTTGCCAGAGTAGTTTTATTTCTTCTCACACTTGAAAAATATTGCGTTTCACAGCTCTGTGTCAGCAACAAAACAACTTGGCTGCCTGGAGAGCGAGCAGGGAGTAATCAGATAAATTAATTTACTCACTGCCATCGCGCTGAGGGCCTGCTTGAGCCGTGGGCCGATGGGAGGTCTGGGCGGCAAATGACACTTCACCGGCCATGATCCAAGGATCTGGGAACGGGCGTGTTTCCCCGGAGCTGTGGCAGAGAGGCAAAGAGCCATGTCGACAGGGCACAGGGGAACACTCAGAGCCCTTGGGTGACAGAGTCAGCCCCAGGGAGCTAAAGTGCCCAGACTGAAAGCCAGCGGCATAATAACAGCACTAACAACAGTGAGGACAGCGGCTTGCATTTGTGGGGCACTTGCCATGTGCCAGGCAACGTGCCAAGCATTGTATGGGCCTTAGTTTGCTAAATCCTCACCACCTCCCTAGGAGATAGGTATCTCATACCCAGTTTACAGACGTGGAAATTGAGGCTCAGAGAGGTTCAGTCACTGGCCCAAGGTCCCACAAGTAAGAGGTGGTGGTGGGTGAGGCTGTCTCCACCTGGAGCAAACCCTCTGGCTAATAGGGTATTTGGGGTGCCGACTGCTGTGCGGGAGGGCGAAGGTGGTCTGAACGAGGCCCTTTCCTCGGGGATGCCTGCCCCACCTGCCCCTGGCCCGTGCCTCCGGCCCACAGCTGAAGGAGCACCCGGAGAAGGGCGTGTACGTGAAGGGGCTCTCCATGCACACGGTGCACGACGTGGCCCAGTGCGAGCGCATCATGGAGACGGGCTGGAAGAACCGCTCGGTCGGCTACACCCTGATGAACAAGGACTCCTCACGCTCCCACTCCATCTTCACCATCAGCATCGAGATCTACGCCGTGGGTATGTGGAGCCTGGCGGGGTGGAGGGGCCAGGCGACCTGAGCTGGGTTCAGCTTCTGCTTTTGTCACAGACCTCCCGTGTGACCTTATGATGGTCACTGCCCCTTTCTGGGCTTCGGTCTTCTGATCTTCACAAAGAAGGGGTTGGATAAGATGATCTTGAAGGCTCTTCCACCTCCACTGATACTCAGTAAGGCCAAGACACCTCACCTCTCAGAGCCTCAAGGCCCCATCTGAAACTGGGAAGGGGCTCGAACAGGAAACATGAGAGGACCCTCCCTGTGCTAGGACCCATGTTGCCAGGACAAACAGCATCAACAACAACAACAATAATAATACTGGTAGCTACCACTGAGCACTTACTGTGTGCTGTGCAGTTTATATGCATTAGTGCATATGACCATGGGTGGTGGCTGCAGAAAAATGCATCACTCACAGCCTTTTCTAACCTGTCCCCTACAAGATGTTACAGTAGTTTCCCATTTTTCCTTGTAAATAATGGCATCATGAACATCTTTGTGCACAAAACCTTTCTGCTTTTATTTACTTTATTTTTTTATTTTTTATTTTAGATGAGGCAACCCTTGGTTGACCTCACAGATTACAAGGACCTCGTCAGCTTACAACCCCTTATTTATTTTTTTAATTTTTTTATTTTTTACGCCTACAGCACCTGATCTTCCTAGGTGGTCTCCCATCCAAGTACTAACCAGGCCCGACCCTGCTTAGCTTCCGAGATCAGATGGGATCGGGCTTGTTCAGGGTGGCCTGGCCGCAGACAAAAACCTTTCTGCTTTTAGAGTCATTTCCTCAGATCAGGTTCCCTGGAGTCCATCTGAAGCAGAGGGCACAGACCTGTCTAAAGCTCCCAGTACATTCTGCAAAGTGCTTTCCAGAACGGCGATTCCATGTCCCGCCTTCCTGCTTTTTTTTTTTTTTGTAATAGCTGAAAAAATTAAGCCCCTTTCATGTTCAAGTCTGTACTGCAGCAGTCCCCAGCCTTTTGGGCACTAGGCTCCTATGAGAATCTAATGCCTGATGATCTGAGGCGGAGCTGAGGCGGTGATGCTGGCGCTGGGGAGCGGCTGCAAATCCAGATGAAGCTTCCTTCACTTGCCCGCCACTCACCTCCTGTTGTGCGGCCTGGTTCCTAACAGGTCACTGGCCAGTACTGGTCCATTCCCCTGCTCTACTGGGGACCAGCCAAATTTCTTTACTTCAGGTTCCTGTGCCCATGGGCAAAACTAGGTCAATTCTGGTTTTGACCAGCAGGAAACTAAGAAAGAAGCCCCTGCCCCTCTGCCTCGTCTCACTTGGGACCGTTTATGGTATCTTCTAGAGATGAGGAAAATTATTAATAGAATTAAGTCATTCAGTGAGCACTTGCTACGAGGCAGGCACAACCCTGAGCTCTTCCCATGTGTGCTATCAGTGTAATCCTTACAACACCGCCTCGGGGCGGGTCTTTGATTCTGAGCTGAGGCTCAGAGTCAAGCGAAGCTATTTCCCCAAGTTTCCTAGCAACTAAGGGATGGATCTCCCAAGACTGAACCTCCCAGGTCTGTGTCTCCAAAACCTGTGCTCTGAGCCCCTGCTCCCAACCGGGGGGTGTCCGGCCTCCTGTCGCCCTCAGCACTCGGGGTCTGCCCTGCTAGCACAGCTCAGTCACTGCAGAACCAGGCTTGTTCTCAGAGGAAACAAACGCCTGCTCTGGGCCAGGCCCTGTGCAGACCCTGCAAAAACATGCTGTCGGTTTCTTCCTCCCAACAGCTAACCCTAACCCTTTTGTTAGTCTCATTTTGTTGATATGACAATTGAGGATCAGAGAGGTGCATGCCCTGCCAAGGTCACACAGCAAGTAAAGGGCAGGACTGAGATAGGAACCAGGCCCAAGAGTCTCCAAACCTGACGTTTTTTTGCATTAAAGGATACAAATCCCTGGTGACCCAGTCACATTCCCCCAACTCCCCACTTCTGGCCTCACAGGAAGTCTGTAGGAGCTGTCATGATAGCTGTAAGAAATTCTGCTGCACTCGGAGAATAGTCTGTGTCTCCCAGGCCCTGCTCCCTGGAGTGAGACAGCCCCGGGGCCTGATCCTGGCTCCACCACTTGGACTTTGGGCGATTAAATGCCCTTTCTGAACCTCAGTATCCTCATCTGTAAGATGGGAACAGTGATAGCGCCTCCTTCATGGAGGTCCTGGGCGGCTGAAATGAGACCCTCCGTGGGTGGTGAGCTTGATTCCTGATAGCTAACTGCCCTCGTTACTGTGGGGGTGGGGGTCACCCGAAGGCCCTCACCCTTCTGCCTGGTTGGTCTGCAGACGAGCGGGGCAAGGACCACCTCCGGGCGGGCAAGCTGAACCTGGTGGACCTGGCGGGCAGCGAGCGGCAGTCCAAGACGGGAGCCACGGGGGAGCGGCTCAAGGAGGCCACCAAGATCAACCTGTCGCTGTCGGCGCTGGGCAATGTCATCTCGGCCCTGGTGGATGGGCGCTGCAAACACATCCCCTACCGGGACTCGAAGCTGACGCGGCTGCTGCAAGACTCGCTGGGAGGCAACACCAAGACGCTGATGGTGGCCTGCCTGTCTCCCGCGGACAACAACTACGACGAGACGCTCAGCACGCTGCGCTACGCCAACCGGGCCAAGAACATCAAGAACAAGCCACACATAAATGAGGACCCCAAGGACGCCCTCCTGCGCGAGTACCAAGAGGAGATCAAGAAGCTCAAGGCGATTCTGGCCCAGCAGATGAACCCCAATAACCTATCAGGTGGGGCAGCTCGGGGAGGAAGTGGCAGAAGGGTCAAGGGTCAGAGGGAAAGGCTCTCTCCCTCGGTCTCCCTGCTGCTAGTCTCCCATCTGAGAGATGTGGAGGCAGCGCGCTGTGTCCTTTCAACTTCCTGGGAGCATAGCTTTAGAAAAGGCAGGGAGAGCCCTGGTTGGTGACAGCTCCGATGGCGTCTGCTTGCCGATGCCCCAGGAAGAGGCGGGTCCGTCTGGCCTGTCCCATCAGCCCTGGGCTCTCTTACCTACTCCCCGCTTCTGGGCTGCACATTCGTCATCCCCTCGTCTGCCTACCGTCCTTGTGGCAGCATCGTGATGCTGTGCTGCTCAGTAGCTGAATGACTCACTCCCCCACATCCCATCCATGGTCGCAGTTAGGCACCTCGTGATGGCAGCTCCCACGCCCAGGCGTTTGGCAGGTAGAAGTCCATACCTGGAACACAGGCCTGCAAGGTCCTTGCAACTGAGGGACTCCAAGGTTTTCTTTGTCTGAGAAACCCTTGGGGAAGGGAGCACAAAAGAGCCTAAGTCCACCTCCCCACCCACATTTCCCTCTATCTATTCATTCTATGCACATACCCATCCACCCACCCATCCATTCAGTCATCCATCCACTTAATCTACCCATCTATTCGCCCATTCTCTCTACCCACCCTATCTATCCTACCATCCACACATCTACCTATTCATTTGCTTCATCCTGTTATCCAGCCTTTTATCCATCTTTCCACTCACCCACCCACTGTCCATCCAGAGTTCACTAAGCAGCCCCTGTGTGTATGGACCTGTGCTGGGCACTAGGGATGAACCAGAGATGAACCAGATCTAGGCTCTGCCTCATGGGCACCTTGTCTCCTGGGGCTGATCATGTACAGCTCTCTACCCAGCACACCATCATGTGTGTCTAGGGTAGAGGGCTGTACAGGCACCGCAGGGCAGAAAGGAGTGTCCAAGTTCAACCAGGGGCGGAGTATGGTCAGGGAGGGAGGCTTTACAGGGGAGGGGTAACCAAGCAGTGTCTTGGGATGGGGCGAGAAGTCTCCCTGTTAGGCTGAGAGAGGCCATTGAGGGCAAAGATGCACAAAACTATAAAGTGTGTTTGGGGAACCAGAAGTACTTCTGCTGGCTGCACGCTGAGTAGGGTGGGGGAGATGGCCAGGTAGAGGGTGGCAGGGGCCGGAGTGGCGGCGACCTTGAACACCATGATGGGGAGTCCACTTTGGCAGTCTGCCTTGCTCCTCTCTCCCTACCTCCCCGCCTCTGGTCGTACTCACCCCCGAGGTTGGTAAGGGGAAGCTGGGTGGAGGAATGGCGAGAGGCACCAGGAGGGAGTCAGAGAGGATCGGCCAGTGGCTCCCCAGACCTGGCAGCTAGCATTTATGCAGCCTTTCGGGGGTGATCATGGCAGCCTTGTGGGATCGGGGCTGTTAGGGTCCCCTCCTCCTGGATTGGGAACATGCAGCTCAGCAAGCGGAGATGACTAGTGCGGGGCAGGGCAGAGAGCTGAGCAGTAACAGCCAGTTCACACGCTGGCTCCCTGGCCCAGCAGCTTGGCTTCTCTGAGCCTCAGTTTCCTCATCTGTAAAATGGGGGTAACAACAACACCTGCTTTGTTATGGTTTGAGGCAGTTTGGGAGGATTGCATGAAGTAACGAACGTGTGGCCTGAGCACATAAAGCTCATTAGACAATGCGTGACGCTTTCACTCTATAGTGGGGCCTTATACACCCTGGCTCCCTGGCCAAGCAGTTTGGCTTCTCTGAGCCTCAGTTTTCTCATCTGTAAAATGGGGGTAACAACAACACCTGCTTTGTTATGGTTTGAGGCAGTTTGGGAGGATTGCATGAAGTAACGAACGTGTGGCCTGAGCACATAAAGCTCATTAGACAATGCGTGACGCTTTCACTCTATAGTGGGGCCTTAATCCAGGTGTTTCCGACGCAAAGCTCTGTGTGCTTCCACCACGCGGGACTGGCCCTTAGCCATCGCCCTCTCAGCCCGGTTCTGCCCTCCGGGGACTGTCACATTTCTCTCTTCCCCTGATGGTACGACTTGAAACACTGGTCTGTTTCACTGACCACAGTTTTCCTCCTTCCACAATCTCACGCCCCGTCCGGGCACGCCCTGGGCCCCATCCCCCTGAGGCTGCCCTTGTCGCGGATGACCTCCTGTGATTCAGCACAGCCATCGGTGCTCACGCAGGCCTCAGCTGTCCTCGGCATCGGCATCGGCATTGGGTCACTCACTCAGCGGATCCCCTTCAAGCCCCTGCCTTCTCCTTGCTTCCTGGACATGCTCTGTCCTGGTTCTCCTCCCACCTGTCCGGCCCCTCACACAAGCCCACCCCTTCCCTAACCTCCTGACGCTGGCCTATCGCAGGGGCGGCCCTCTCCCCTCTCTCTCCACGCACCCCGAAGGTGGATTCATCTGGTCTCATGGCTTTAAATGCCATGTCTAAGCTCAAGGCTCTCACTTGTAGACCTCTGGCCTGGCCATGTGATTTGCGTCCAGGTCTTAATTCATACGGGTGACTGAATGGTGACACAGAGAGGTCAATACCATTGAAAGAAAGGTTTTATGTTATTCACAGTTACCCTAGAAACGAGAGGCAGGCACACCGTGCAGGGCCACAGGGGGAAGCACCAGGGTCAGTCTGGAGACGGAGAGGAGCACGGGGCCAGCCTGAGCCAGAGCCTTCACTGGGGTTTCCGTGGGAAAGACAAGGCAGGGCAGCGGAAACAGTGTGGGACTGGCTCGTTTGAATAATGCCGATATGTTCGGGGCACAGGGGCTGTCCCTGGACCCAGGCCCTGTGGTGACCGAAGGCCGGGGAAATGCTGGCTTGGCATGAGTTAGATAGAGAAGGTGGTTAGGGGCATGGACTGGAGCTCGGATGGTTTGTGTATGAGAGACAGGCTCACCGACAAGTTGTTTACTCTCTCTGGGGATTAGCTGGCCCTGGGAGGGGTGGTCTCCCCCCGTCCAGCAAGTCCCCAACATGTCAAAGCATCATAAAATGTAGAAAATTTATAAAAATGATTGATAACATGTGTCCTCTGAATTCCAGACTTGAATATCCAGCTGTCTATTAACTTAACACATCCAACGTCGAGCTCTTGATCTTCCCCAGAGCTGCTTGTCTTGCAGCTGTCCCCGCCCAGCTGATGGCAACTCTCTCCTTGCAGGTGTTCAAGCCAGAAGCCCTGCGGTTATCCTTGGCTTCTAGAGAGCTCCAACCCGTATCTAATCTAGCAGTAGATCCTGTTCTCTTTACCTTCAAAACATATCCAGGATCTGTCCCCTGCTGTCCCCCTGCCCTGAGCCACTATTATCTCTCACCTGAATTACTGCGGAAGCCCCCAGTAGGTCTCCCGGTGTCTGCCCTTGACACCCCGCTCAGTACATTCTCCACACAGCAGCCAGCGAGATCCTGCCCAAATGCAGATCTTTTCACCGCCCGGCGCAAACTCTCCCAATGGCTAGTTTATCCCAGAGTCAAAGCCGAGGTGCTCACCACGGCCTGCGAGGTCCCCCTGACCTGGCCCCGTGCCCTCTCCCTCTTCCTTTTCGCCCATACTCTCCCTCTCTCACTCCACTCCAGCCACGTTGGCCTCCTGACAGTCCAGGCCCCTGTCCACTGCAGGACCTCTGCACTCACTGCTCCCTCTGTCCGTCCCCAGGACCTCTGCCCGCTTTGCTCTGCCCCTCACTTCCTTCAGATCGCTGTTCTCCTCTTCCCGTGTCTAAGAGCCCTTCCCTGACCTCTCTGTTTAAAGCACGCGGCTCCCTCTTGGTTCCTACTCCTGAAAACCCTCCCGCTTTCTTCCTCTCCTCAGAATGCATCGCTTTGTGACGTCATCAGTTTGCCTTATTTATTTTGTTCGCCTTTCTCTCCCAATTGAAAACTCAACTTGTGGGGGTGGAGTTTTGTCTGTTTTGTTCAATAGCTCATCTCCAGTGCCTAGAACATGTAGTGCTCAAGAAATATTTCTTGAATGAACGAATAAATTAGCATTTTACATAGAGACATGCTTCAAAGAAGTTCAATACTTTGAAGACTTTTTGAATGAGCCTGTGGTTGTCTTTATGGATTTCTGCTGAGCTCCTGCAAACCACGTGTACTTTGGTCACAGCCCTCTCCTTTCTGCTTTTCTCCCAGCCCTGCTGTCCAATCAGGTGCCCCTCAACCCTGTCCAAACTGAGGAGAAGCCGTTGCCCCCACCTGTGATCCAGCATGACACGGAGGCCGAGAAGCAGCTGATCCGGGAGGTGAGACCCAGGGCAGATGGAGAAGGGTAGGCAGGTGGGGCTTGTCTGACCATCTCGAGAAGGGTGTTGTGTCCACCTCAGCATCACCTCGGAGGTGATATAATCTCCCTTTTGGAACTCAGAAAGCTGAGGCTCAGAGAGGAGCCATGACTTGCCCAAAGTCACAAGGCTAGGGGGAGAGTCAGAGCTGGGATTTGAACTTGGGTCCCCGACTCTAGAGTCCAGTCTATCTCACATCAGTGAGAGAACAGAAGGGGGATTGGGGGCATCTCCAGGAGCGCGGCCTGTCTTCAGCACAGCAGGAAGGGGTGGCTGTGGGCTGATGGAAGCGG